TACCTGAATTACCAATTTGTATTATTACATCAATACATTTATTTCCCTATATTCATTCTTGGCGTTTGTTATTTATTGGTACCGGATTTCATCCGGGAATCCACAACAGAAACAAAACAAAGAGATAAAAAGAAATCATCGAAAAACTGGTTTTCATTCTGGTCTACAGTCTCTGTTATATTTGGTTTGTTTATTTTTAGAAAGAGAACACTGGAAACATTTGCTGAAACAATATGTTTAATGAATATGGAAAAAGAATAGAACTTTTGAAAATTACCCCCGGTACTGATAACTAAGATTTTCCATTTCTTACACTTATTTCATTTTCTTTGTTATCTTCGCGATTTTTCGTTATACCTTCCAGTGATTTTATTTTTTTCTGTAAGTCTTTGGTTTTTATCTATTCATGTATGTACCAGTATTATGGTTGAAAGTGAAGACGAATAGACATGATGGCTAATTTGAAGGAAACCATCTGTTTCAAGAATGCAGTTTCTTTTGAGATCTCAATCAATCCTTCCTCGAGGCTGAAGGCAGTTTTATTGTAAAACTTTTTTTTTTCTTTTTTTTTTCTAAGTTGAACATGTATCGGCATTTTTGAAAATATTTTATTTACCTATTTAATCATCTTTTTGATCATGTAATCCTGATTGTCCCCATCTTTAGTTACTGTTATGGTCCGATTCCTTGTACCACGGTGATAGTCCAAGGTAGAACCAATAAAGAAGAACTCGAACACAGGTATGGAATAACACAGATATATTACAAACAGGAATATACACAGAGAGGTAGAAAAAAGTGTTAGTACGAACAATCAGGTTTAGTAGTAATTGTCTGAACGCGACTCTTTTTCGGACTGCCTCTGACTCGACTGACTGACTCGGTCTGACTGACTGACAGACTCCTGGCGGACTTCATTTCAGACTTCAGACTTCATTCCAGACTTCAGGCGGAACTCCAGACTTCAGACGGAACAGTATTTAGTCACCCACCCCCACGAGGGCATCATGTGGCACAAGGCCGGTTTAACGTGGGATCTCCGAGCCCGTGGGCTCGGCCCAAAATATGACCTTTGAACCCGTATAAACGGGTTCAGTGTCGGTTTACCTCCCCGAAAGAGACTCCGCCCTTCGGCGTAGCCTCGTTCGGGTTTCTCCTCGCCCGAAGGCAGAGAGTTCAACCGATCAGACGGTCAGCCGGTCGCCCGGCTTCGGACTGAACTCTCTGCTTCCTCTTGAGGCGCAGTATTTATTACGTATGGGTTAGTCCATTATGTTATTATGGGTAAGGTCCCATAACAGTTACTTAGTTTGCACGACGGTTACCTCGCTGACAATACCCCATACATAATGGACTATTCCGTTTTAATCACGGGGAAATGAGCTACATAGTTTCAGTGAAAGCAAGAAAGTAGTGATTAATGTCTGTTTCAATAAAATCGAAAAAATCGTCAGTTTCAGATATTTTTATTAATAGCCACTTGCTTATTTAAATAAGAACCAGCTTTCATATTTATGATTGAAAGGGGGAAGAAAGGCTAGGAAAATCTTATACTCACAGGACTGATTGAGAGAAAGAGGGACAGAGATCTTGTAACATAATTGATGTGTTTGAGAAAATTGATAGTAGAATAGGGTCTGGAAGAAATAACAAAAAAGCAGCACTTATCAAGAGCTACAAGTGACAGGCAGATGTGGAGTGTCATGTTCGCCTAAATTCTGAAGGGACACGAGACATAAAAGAAGACTGAAACATTTTGTTAAAGTTGTGCAGGACAAATATTTACCGATGAGATAGGAGAATTCTACGGATATTGCATTGTCGTAGAACTCGCTACGTGCTTATTCGATCACTGACTTAAGAATTAAGATACATCTTAAATTCAAATAGGAAAACCGTGAAATTTTGACGATTTATAATTATAATTTCATTTGTTTCAAATTCGGCTCATATACTGTTCAAGAAAGCACATTATTATATTTGGCTTATGTCTGGCCTGGATTTCTCCAATCCTCAATTTTCAGCCTTTATATTACCTGACGCTTTCTTTTACGATTTTCTTCGGGACTTCTCATGGCTTATGCAAAGTCAGTCTATATTACTACGGTTACCATGTAAACCAGTAATACCCGCCGATTGGGCGACTAAATCGTTGCTCCCCCGTATTCTTTTATGGTGATGGAGATGGCAAGACAAAAAGCAATGCCTTTACAAACGCTGGAATAGCCTTCTTTTAGAGTCAAGCGTCCTCTAGGAAAAAAATGGTCACAGTGGCTATGTTTAAAGACATTGTGATGATGCAGCCACGTTGGATGGAGGGCTTCCTATACAGAAGTCAGCAACCACGGTGTAAGCTTCCTCTCGAACGACCACCGCAAGTCCTGATATTAGAGACCATGCATTGACTTGACCTGGTGAGGGATGAACTCCGCCAGCTCTACATGCACAGGAAAGGAACTGGTCACGTTCTCGGACGCAGAAGTAACTCTACGAACATACCCAGATATCTCTTTATAAATTAAAAAAAAAACAAACTAGTTGAACATTTTATTCCGAATGTTTGCATTCTAGCTGAATTATTATGACCATTGATGTTTCTTTTTTATCACAACCTATTGGACGCTGTATACTCCTGTCTGCCTCAGGTACTCCTTGTATGTGACAAGCCATAACAAATATCTTATAAAACAAAAAAGACAAGTATATTATTATATTGGTTGGTGCATAATTATCAGGCGTTTTTGTAGGCGAGATTGCTGTTTAGTTTCATTTTTTTTAACAAATATTTTATTTTCAGGTTATAAAAATGCGTGGCGATAATCATACTCTCCAGAAGTCTCCTTTTAAAATGTTATTGTTGAAATATTATATTTATTTTCTTTATAATCAATATTATTTAAAAACGCCTGATAATTAAGCACCAACCCAATAGTAATAAAAAAAAAATTTGTTTACTTTCTATCCGTTCATTTTTTTTTTATTTTATATATGTACGTTTTTGTCAGGGGAAAACTGACGCTTTAAGTGATTTTGTTTCGCAGAAGAAAATGGTGATCAGATGATGACAATAACGGAAAAAAATCTCCTATTTTTTTTCAATAATATTTTGTAATATTAAGAAAAGGCAAAAACGAAAGAATAAAAATGAAAAAAATAAAAAAGAATTACTGAATGGCTTTAGGCAAACCTATTTCGAAGAAAAAAAAAACATCCGGTTCGTATAGCAAAATATATTTTTGATTCATTTGTAATTACTACATTGAATCGTATTTATTTTTCAACGTAACAAACTATCTACGGTTTTCACATTTACATTGTATTTTTTTTTCAACCTATTTTCTTTCTCATTAATGCATTTCATTGTCTCCTTAATTTAATCTCATGGTGTTCATCATTTTTCTTTGCCCTAAATCCGTTTATAAACATTATTTTCATGATTCGTTAGATTTTCATATCTTATAAAATTGTCGGTAAATTTTCTCATATTTTTCAATAGAATAATTTTCCGGTATTAAATCTACTCCCAAATGACACATATTTTAATATCTCTTTTGCACATTGAATTAAATGTATGCATTAATATTTTAAAGTGGGTTCGAAGTTGGCTAGCTTCTTCAACGCTGGAGCGAGTATAATGGAGAACTTTTCCACGACCAAAGAGAACAACCAGCAATGCACAGATGTATAGACGAACCTGGAATTCTGAAAACCGATGTAAAAGAAGCATTGGTCAAATTAGACGGAAACAAAGCAGCTGGGTTAGACGGAACTGTAACGGAAATGCTGGCAGCCATAGATGATTTTGACATAGACAAGATCACCGAAATAACAACTGAAATCTAATACAGCGGGGATATACCGGAAAACCTCAGCAGATATACCTCCAATAGCAATGCATAAGAAGCCAGGTGCAAACGAATGCGAACTCCACCGAACAATAAGCCTAAAGACCCGCGGGACAAAACTCATCATTCTTATTCTGTTGAATAGAGCGCGCAAAATAATCAGTCCAGAGATAGGACGAGGGCAGTGCGGGTTCATTAAAGACACCGAAACAAGGACCATGACATTCATGCTCAGAATATTATCAGAAAGAGTCATACAAATGCAGAAGGACGTGTATCTATGTTACATAGACTATGCAAAGGCCTTCGACAAAGTACGCCACAAGGATCTATTGGAACTGCTCAGTAACCTTGATATATTTGGGAAAGATATCAGAATAATCAAGAATTTATACTGGCAGCAAACAGCATTCATGCGCATAGAGAACGAGTTTAGTGAATATACAAAAATAGAAAGGGGCGTAAGACAAGGATGCGTCTTTTCACTCGAACTGTTCAACTTATACACGATGAAATTCTGAGAGAATTGGAAGACCTACCGGGATTTAGCATTGGCGGTCACAATGTTAACAATATAAATTGCGTAGATAACACAGTACTTACGCCACACACGGAAAAGAAATTACAAACTCTCCTACAGAACGTAACGAGAGTGTGAAGAAGGGAATAAGCACAAACTACGAGAAAATAGAATGCATGGTCGTCAGTTAAAGGATGACTCCGAAATGAGACTTGCAGACCGGGAATACTAGAATCAAGCAGACGCGGAAGTTTAAATATCTGGGAAGTGTACTGACAGAAGACGGTAAATGCGACTCTGAGATACGTAGACATATTGGGTTGGACAAGAATGCATTCCAAAAGCTAGACAGATTATTGCGAGACAGGAGGATTTCTTTGGTAATTAAGAAAAGAATACTGAAATGTTACGTCACATGTCCTTTACGGCAGCGAATGTTAGACGATTTAATTCACTGTATGACATAAAATAAACACCTTAATGAGTTCTTTGTCGAGAAACCAGCTAATTTCCGAGAAGATGGAATCTAAGATGAAGGAAAAATGGTGAAAGGTTGAGTAACAAAACGGTTCATATTTGGTTGAATAAACATTTAATCGCATAGTTTTGGATTGTGTTTTAATTTCCTTTCAAAATCAGCAGGAACTTTCCAGACAACCCAGACCATAACAACACGGAGTAAAACTTGAGAAAAATAATAGATAGATAGATAGATAGATAGATAGATAGATAGATAGATAGATAGATATTAACAAACTTAGGTCGGCAAGAATAATACAAAGTCAGATTGGTAATAAAATTGGAAGATTGAACATTTAAAATTACCTGCCGAATAGTGATTACATGTAATAAATCACGTTTGAACACCGGCAGGGAGATAGGTATTCACGTGACAGTTACCGAATATATGAGCAAGGACGAAACTTTAGATAAAAATGTAACAAAATCAACCTTTATAATTAATGTCAGGAAGAATCAGATGAAATGTCTAGGGCGCATAATAGGCAAGAGTACACGGAAAACGTGATACTCACAGGTCAAATTGAAGGCAAGATGGATAGAGGAAAACAACGCATAAGCGATGATAAATAAATGTAATTGCAAAACAAGGTTGAGGAGAAATACAAAAAAAGTATTAAGATCTACAAAGAACAGGAAATTAGAGATCGACAATGTCGTAAAAATACATGGCAAGTAGAAGTATATCCTTCCTACGATATATATATATATATATATATATATATATATATATATATATATATATATATATATATATATATATATAGTTAAATTCCAAGATCAATTCTGTGGACAAGACAAACTGGTATAAGATGGCAATGGAAAAAAATTGACGCAATGAAATCGAAATCTCTTTATTGTTAGAGAAAAGAGCGACGTTTCTGCTTAAGCAGGTTAATGTAAATTTCCTTTATCCTAAGTGTTTTTTTTTTCGTTCCATGTTGACAATATATAGTTAAATTCCCAGATCAAGTCGGAAGATGAAATGACTCAGCAAAAAAACTAAGATTTTTTTTTTTTTCACAATTGAAAATTTTATACCAAATTCTCGTGTCCAAAAAATTGATCTAGGAATAAAAAGTGAATATTTAAGCCCAACTTTTGTGAAAAATATGCGTCTTATACGTTGTCAAATGAAGTAAAATTTGTTCTGATTTCAGACAATGAATAGAAAGTCGAAGAAACATTTGTATATTGAGAGGCAGAGCTGATGTGAGAGAAATTATATAATTTAAATGGAAACGTAGAAATAACAAAAAATGTATAATGCTTCGGATATTTTTCTTATCTATTCAATACGTTTTCAAATTTCATAAAATAAAATATATTCTGCTTATCTTTCGGTCTTTGTCCGTTTATTTTTTTAATATAGAGAATATTTCCCTTAGCATTATCAAAATGTATATCTCGATCAATAAATTTTTTTGTCATTTCTGTAAATTACGATGATTTCAAATACTTACAATATGTATTATTGCCATTGATGGGTCATAAATAGAGAAACTCTAACCAGTTCTAAAGATTTGAAATGATTCTATCATCCTCATAATGAGTTTCTGATTATAGGAACAATTTAGAAAAAATGTTTGCTTCTATCTTTCTTTTTATGTACCATTTCTTTCAGTTCTTTTAGTTCTCCACCTCCCTCTATCCCTTGCAGATCTCAACAAGTTCCTTCCCTCTGCCTCTGAATGCGTCCTTGGCCATCCCAATACGTCTCAGTGTCGCACTTACTGTCCTGTGTCACAACGCTTCCCAGATATTTAAACTTCTGCGTCTGCTTTATTTTAGTGTCCCTGACCTGCAAATCGCATTTCAGACTCATCCTTTTACTGATGACCAAGCATTCTGTCTTCTTGTAGTTTATGCTTAGTCCCTTCTTCTCACTCTCCGTCACTACCTTCTGTAGGAGATTTTGTAATTTCTTTTTCGTGCCTGCGTATCTTGTTAAGATTGTAGCCGCCATTGCTAAATCCCGGTAGGGTTTCCAATTCTCTCGGAAATACCTCGCTGTATAGGTTGAACAGTTCGGCCTTTCTATTTTTGTATATTCACTGAACTCGTTCCCTTTGCGCGCTCATGCATGCTCTTTGCCGCCAGTATAGGTCCTTGATTATTCTTGTATTCACACTTACACTATTTAAATGACGACTACTGCCCACACCTTCGGTGTTGTTATCACAACAGTTCCGCCGTTGTTTCCTCCGGTTTCATCAAGGATTATTCTGTCCTGGTAAGAAACGAAAATTCAGGATGTGGATATAGTAAATACTAAACCCTTAAAAAATATAAAAAAAAACCTCAACGTATTGCTAGGTTTTAACAAATTTAGTATAGGATACAACACCACAAATGTCTACAAAACTGAAACATTAACCTGGCACTTTACGTTCTTAAATAACCCCGTCAGATGTAATCTTTCATATATAGATATGAATTTGAGATCACGTGAAGGTTTATTTTTTTTATTCATTTCTTAAAAGAATATCATGTCTTTTCTGGACGATCCTAGATCTACGCAGATCCATTTCTTCTGTCGGATATCAATACTTAGTCGTTTTTGGAATGTATTTAGTTAATACAGATCACATTCTATAGTCGTAAATATCATTTTTGCCCATCCGTTAAAGTTCAACGTGACAATTTTTTTTTATTAGACCTTTTTTAATTATAACTTCTCAACTGGAGATTTTTTTCTTCGCAGCAAGGACTGTAACAATTAATCTGCCTCTATTCAACGCAGACAGCAGGGTGTTTACCTCAGCGGCAAATATTTTCAGTGAAGTAAGACTTGATTGCAACAAAGTATTCCCAGGTCTAATCAAGTCAGGGTAAGCTGTGGGCGGACGACTTCAATGATTCCGCAGAAAGACTCCGAAATCTAAGCTTTTGTATGACTTCAACGGTAATAACAACAACAAAGATTCACAATTATCGTGGTAAGAGATCGTGGAGAGAAAGAAGTAATAGAAATATAGAAAAGAGACACACATACAAGGGCGCACACAAAGAGAAACACTAACACACACACACACATACATACACACATATATATATATATATATATATATATATATATATATATATATATATATGTGTGTGTGTGTGTGTGTGTGTGTGTGTGTGTGTGTGTGTGTGTGCGTGCGTGTGTGTGTATTCAAACTTAGAGCTAGGGAGATTAAATTGTTTGAGTTACATGATAGGAAATTTTTAAAGATATATTAAGATATAAAGAGAATAAGCAAAGTTTGACATACATCAGAACATAGAAAGATAGACAGATATGGGTAGGCCGAGATAGATAGATAGATAGATAGATAGATAGATAGATAGATAGATAGATGATGATATGTGCGAGGCTTAGATAGATAGATAGATATAGTTGGGCCGATAGATAGATAGATAGATAGATAGATAGATAGATAGATAGATAGATGAGATAGATAGATAGATAGATGAGATAGATAGATAGATAGATAGATAGATAGATAGATAGGCCTAGATAGATATATAGATAGATAGATAGATAGATAGATAGATATGTGTGAGCCCTAGATAGATAGATAGATAGATAGATAGATAGATAGATATAGATAGATATAGGTGGGTCGAGATAGATAGATAGATAGATATGGAGGGGCTGAGTTCGATAAGTACAGACCGAGGTAAATACGTAGATATTGACAGGCCAAGTTATACAGGGTGCGATGGGTAAAATGTCGCCATATAATAATTTTTATTTCGCGCATGTTCATTGTTTGATTCTAATTTTCTCGACTGCACAATATTCCTGATGGGACGTAGGCTATCCTTGCACTCCACAACTCCCTCCCCTTGTTAGCTCGTAATAAATTTTGTTAATACTTCTAAACCCTGTTCCGCCATCCAAACTCATTAAGTATTTTGTGCGTTGTTTTTCCTGTTTCGCTTGCCTTCAGTCTGCCTTGTGTGTATCAGATTTTCCAAGTCTTTTTTCTCATTCTGCTGACAATATTTTTCAGCTATCTCTTCCTGATTTTAAGTATAAGTTTCTTTCTGTTTCCATTTTCTCTAAAACTTACACGTTGCTCAAATAATCATTCACTGGTTTACTCGGCATCTTTCTGCAGGCAGATATTTCTGTCGTTTCCATTCTCTTCTTCATCTTTGAGAAGATTGCCCAATTAGTCAAGCATAAATGTATTAAATTCAACTAGCGAGTCGAATACTTGGTTCATATACTCTGGGATAAAAGGAAATTCTCATTTAAATCCTATTACTAACATTATACAATAACGAGATTATATTTTCATAAGCGTCCCACTGTACGTCACAAGGTGAGTTCAATACCTGGTTAAGGCAGTGGAGAACTTTCAGAGGGAAAATTAGCAGGAGATAACTGATAGCTGACATCCATCAAACATGGCACGTGGAACTAGAACAGTCTACCCCAGTAATCGAAATAAAGAGTTCAATTCGAAATTCCGACCACCTGAAGAAGGCCGGAGCGTAAAACGGCCGAAACGTTGTGATAAATATAGTGACAAAGATGAGGACAATAGTCCGACTAATGTAAATATTGTACAAAAGAAAAAATGTTAGAACAGGTATAGGGTTGAAACATTTATCATTCAGTTATGTGCCATGCATGATACACGCTTAGGCGATCATGGAATTTTTGGATACACGACTGACGAAGCAGATTTTTTCCCCTGGTAGGTTGTCATTTCTTTATGCGGTGGATCAGTTGCCATTTCTTTATGCAGCAGATCAGTTGCCATCAAAGGCTATAGAACCCGGTCTGTCCTGCTATTTACCCATAGCTGGGGGGAGGAGAAAATGATTCATACCTTTCTCAACGGTATTAGCACATAAGTGAATGTAATGGTTCCGGCTGGAATTCGAAATCCATTTTCTGATACTTAAATATTTGCGTTAAATATGTAGGTGTAGTTGGAATGTTCGCATTCCGACATCGAGACGCAGTTTCTTATTTTACCATGACCGATTTGTCAGGAAGGCGACTTCTTGAGGTTTTGGGCCTTGTTCCTAGCATGCGTCACCTTTGAAAATTGCCTGAACGCCATACCTTGTGATTTAAAGGAATCATTTGGGAAATCTGAATTCCATACCTGATATAGTGGAATAAACCTATTCTATTGTTAATAGACTATCCCACCTATAATAAGTAGTAGTAGTAGTAAGAGTCGCTCAGAGTCAGTTGGTCAGTCATTCGACTAGCTGATCGGTTGAACTCTCTGCCTTCGGGCAGGAGGAACCCGAAGGAGGCTACGCCGAAGGGTGGAGTCTCCTTCGGGGAGGTAAAACCGGCCCTGAACCCGTTCATACGGGTTCAAATGGGCTATTACAGCCCGAGCCTAATGGCTCCAGGAATGCCCACGTTAAAAGGCCTTGTGCCACATGACACCCTCGTGGGGGGGGGTGACTGAATATCGTCAGTTGGTCAGTCATTCGACTAGCTGATCGGTTGAACTCTCTGCCTTCGGGCGGGGAGGAACCCGAAAGAGGCTACGCCGAAGAGCGGATTCTCTTTCGGGGAGGTAAACCGACCCTGGACCCGTTTATACGGTTTCAATGGGCGTATTTTGGCCGACCCCACGGGCTCGGACATCCCACGTTAAACAGGTCTTGTGCCACATGATGCCCTCGTGGGGGTGGGGTAAATATCGAGTTGGTCAGTCAGTCGATGTCGGACGACCGTTAGTCGGATATTAAAGTATCAGCCACCACAACTAGATTACTGCGTCATTACCTATTATATCAAGTTCCTAAAGTTTTGTACGTCGAACCTATTTTAGGACCGACTTAGTACAAATACAAGCCTCCAATGTGAAACCACTACATAACAATACCACAGAGAAAACAACGAAAATAAAACTCCAAACTTCACCAAAGTTCAATAACAACCAAATGACTAAAGGAAACCTTTGAGATTCATAACTGCCTACGTTTATGTAGGCTTTTCAATCAGTTATGTGCCATGCGTGATACACGATTAGATGATCATGGATCTTTCGATACATTACTGACGAGGCAGATTTCTTTCCCGTAGTAGGTTGTCATTTCTTTCTGTGGTAAACCAGTTGCCTCCAAGGCCTGTCCGGCTATTTGCTCATAGCCGGGAGGAGAAAAAGTAAAGGATTAAGACCTTTCCCAGGGGTATTATCACGTAAATGAATGTAATGGATTCGACTAGAATTCGAACTCGGCTCTCCGTTTTCTCAATCCAAGTCAATCCATTACTCCACCTAGAAACATTTATGGGAAAATTATAAGAAAAATAAGCGTAACTCGGCAGTGTTGAATGGTGAGATGCGTGCGGAAGTGTTTTGTAATATTTAAAAAATTCCAGACCGTGTCATTGTTTCATGATAATGTTGGTTATTTTGTGACAACTTGCTTTGGAAACCTCATGATAGCTCTATGGTGAATGTTCAAATAATAGCCATGGAATTACGAAATTTACATTAAATGAATGAAAAATGATTTGGCTATTTGATGAGGCCGTCCTTACGTAAATTAACCAGTGCCGAAGAGTCCTTACATGCAACGACTGTACTGCAGGCCTTAGATTGTTTTCCAGGATAAATACATATTCTTAATAACAAATTGTAGATAATATTTACTATCCTCTTTGAAATCATGATACTTTTTTTTTATAAATCGCGCACGCCTCCATTTCTTAGAATAAATTGTGAACAAGCATTTTTTACTAGAGTAGTGTAAGCATAGAAGGCCCTTCTTTCATTATATTTTTCCCACACAGACACAGAGGAACGAACCTGGAAGAACACTGTGAAAGGAAGTTGAGAGATAATGGTTGAGTGAATGCGGAAAGAAGTAAAAAAGAAAAAAGAAAAACAGTGAAATTGGCAGTTTTTTCCTGCTCTCCAAATGGAGATAGATTACAAAATTGAGTTATTTCCATGGATGCAGACATATTGAAGAAGTTGGAGATAAAGGCTTGTGCACGCATTTTTGTATTACTTTACAAATAAGTGTTAAATATCTTCTTATTACTCAATTTTATTATTTTCTCATATTTCTCGAGGATTCATTTAATGGTTATCATGGACTGCATTCCGCAGTTTCAGAGTCGGCCTTTGCTATTGAAATAATCACATGCAAAACAAACCTCATTATGTTTACAGATATTGTGGTTTCTATAAACACTGTTAAGATATTTTATTATAAAATAAAGACAAAATGAAAACCTATTTTAGCCGATGCGCTACGTCCGCTCATGGACATTATGAAAGCAAATACAAGGATTTTATTTCGTAACAAGTGTTGATAGACAATAGCAAAATTGTTTTGAGTTTTTCAATTTTTGTACATTTAAAGAATGCTCACAAATATTAATCAGGTTAGCTAAAAAGTATAGGTAAATATGGGAGACTCTAAGTGGCATAATTTACTGTCTAATAAATAGAAGTGATTTGCTAAAAGAATTACTACTTTCCCAAGCGAACATACATGACTATGTTAAAGAAATTTAAAAAAAAAACGGTTAAATTCATAACTTCATGTTATTTAAAATATATAACACATAAATTAATCGCAAAATAAATTAATCTCTATATGAAATTGCATAACAAATTTCGACTATTAGACATTAGATTGTGTCATTTAGTGTCCTCCATAAATTACCTAGACTTTTCAGCTGACCTGATGAATATTTATAAGCGTTCCTTAGATTAAAACATTTGAAAAACTAACAACATTTTTGCTCCTGTATATAAATACATGTTATAAAATAAAATCCTTGCATTCCCCTTGATAAATTTCACAAAACTCGTCGACTAATATAAACTTTCCTTTTGTATTTATGTATATTGTCCTGTTACAGATATATTCTATCTGAAATGTTACATATTTATTATAAGCGGAGATAATGAGACAGAAAAAAAAGAAGGAGTGAATATGATATTCAGGGCATTTTTTATATAGTTTTTACACTGTAAAGTAAGAGAAAGATTGAATAGGACAAATAGGAATAAAGCAAACAATATCTAAGAGAAGACGAAGAAGAATAAGAAGCATATAGGAAGATGGAGAGAAAGAATGGAAATTAGAAAGTAGAAGAAGAAAAGTAGACAAATTGAAGAATAAAACATAGAATTCAAAGAATAGTCTAAAGTGAGAGTGAGATTGAATAAGATAAATAGGAAACGAAATGTAAGAGAAGAGGAAGATGAAGAACAACAAGAATGACATAAGAAGGAAGGTGGAAAATAAGGTCATGTTTGAAGAAAAGACATGAAACCATTGAATACAACTAAGCACTGAGAGAAGAAGAAGAAGAAGAAGAAGAAGAAGAAGAAGAAGAAAGAGGAGGAGGAGGTGGAGGATTTAGCAAAGAGAAAGACGAAGAAAAAGAGGAAGAAGAAGAACGAAGACGAAGAAGAAGAAGAAGAACGAAGAAGAAGAAAGAGGAGGAGGAGGTGGAGGATTTTGCAAAGAGAAAGACGAAGAAAAAGAGGAAGAAGAAGAACGAAGACGAAGAAGAAGAAGAAGAAGAAGAAGAGGAAGAAGAAGAACGAAGAAGAAGAAAGAGGAGGAGGAGGAGGTGGAGGATTTAGCAAAGAGAAAGACGAAGAAAAAGAGGAAGAAGAACGAAGATGAAGAAGAAGAGGAAGAAGAAGAACGAAGAAGAAGAAGGCAAACAAGAAGACGAAAAAGAAGAAGAAGGACGAGAAAAAAATAAAACAAGAATAACGTAAAATATGACATTGAAGGAAAGAGAATGAGGTATATGAAACACATTAGGCCTAAGAGAAAAAGAAGAAAACAGAAAGAAAGAAAAAGAAAAAAACAGAAAGAAAGAAGGAATGAAAGAAAAGAAAAAGAAAGAAACAATTTACGAACCTAAAGAAGAGTATTGCATATGTGGAAGAGGAAAGAAGCCAGGAAAGAGAAAGATTCAAACAAAAGACGAATGTCAAATAAGGGCGAGATTGAAGAAAACAGAATTAAGTAGATGAATAAAACGTTTATAAAGAATAAAGTTAAGAAGAAGATAGAAAGAGGATGAAAGGAAATAATATAGCAGTAGTAGGAGGAATAGGAGGAGAAAGAGGTGTAGTAGGAGGAGAAGATGAGGAGTAGTAGGTTTAGTAGTAGTAGTAGAAGAAGATTCCTAACAAAAAGCGAAGAATAGACAAAGATGAAGAAAAACTCCATAGATTGTGACAAGAAAACAAAAAGAGAAAACAAAAGAGAAAAAAAAAGAAAGAAGAATTCGAAATATATCAAAAGAATGAAAAGTAATAGAAAGAAGGAAATAAAATGCCCACTTATTATAGAAATGCAGGTGGAAGAAATCTTTTTTATAAAACATTGAAATAGAAATAATGGCGAGGGAATAAAAAAGCACGTAGAAACTTATTATAGACCTAAAATATTTCTGGCAATGAAAGCAAAGTCAGTTATGAAAACGAGTAATAAACAACCGTAAGGCTCGAGACCAAAGTTGATTAGAATAACGTGATGACTAATATCCCAACAACTACTAACATTACGCCCTCACCTAATCCACACCAACATCTAGTAGAATTACTTTGGAGAAGTAATAATAAAAGCATATTCCGCTATATAAGGCCTTTGCTCTTTCTGTTTTTCTGTTTCTGTTGTTGTTATTGCAAAGTCGGTTTTCAATAGATAATGGCAAAATTTCCAGACGGCTTCGGCAAGATGCATTACTTGTGTACAAATGTCTTAAGGAAAGGGGGAAAAAATAACAATTCGGTCAGACAAACTGTCAGGGAAACAAGGTGTTTATTTTGTATTCCCACAGGGGCGGTTAACTGGAGAGAACTGTTTACCAAATAAGTTTAGAAAAATGTTTCTTGTGCAATAGTTTCTATACTCATTGGGTACCCTATTGTAGTAGTCTTGTTATACATTTGAACCAGGAGGCGATGGGTAAATTGTCGCCATTTTATATTTTTAATTTCGCGCATGCGCGTTGTTTCTTTATGGGTTTGTCACCTGCACGGTATGGTATGGTCAGTGGGGCAGTGTCTGTTTGAAATAGAGCAAAATGACGCAATTCGCTCCGTTAGAAATTTGGAGACGGCCGGCTGTTCAGCTTGGCATTCGCGCGGAAAGGTCCAATACGAACTTTTAGAGTGTTTGGGTGTTAATCTGGGTACAGTACATAGAATTCAGAAAGATCATGGTGTTTGAAGTGATCACTAGAGATGGCGACGTTATGCCACCATTCACCTTCTCACAGGGATTTAGACTCAACACGCAGGCCTACATCATGTGCCTTGAGGATGTAGTGCTGCCCTGGGTCAAGAAGCTAGTTGTTGGAACACCCTACGTCTGGCAACAAGATGTTTTACCATGCCTCACAGGAAAGAGAACACAATCATTTCTGTCGGATAATTTCTTCGAACGCATCACACATTAAAACTGGCCACCAAACTCCACAGACTGCAACCCCCTTGATTATTATGTTTGGAGCGCGGTTGACCGAGAAACCAACAAAACTCTTTGTAATATCAAAGATGGGCGGAACGCAAAATTATGGCAGCATTCACAACTTAAAAAGTGTGACCGTCCAGAAGTGATGCTGGCAATTCCGATGTCGTCTGGATGCCATTATTGAAGCCAATGACGATTTTATTGCATACATTTATTCTTTAGCATCAGTGTTATTTTCATTTTTGCCTGATTTGGGCGGCAATTTATCCATATCACCCTATAGTCTATTGTCTTAACGGTCTGTTTGAGAGTTGCTTATTGTTAAACAGCGCAAATTCTGGCCTGTCGAGCGAAGGCAGTTATTGAAATCAAGACTTTGTTTTTCAGTGTAGACCATTCCCATATCGGAATTTAATGCAAAAACACAACCTTCCTACATTTCTTCCAATATAGTGTTTGACTATCATAGCTTCGCATCAGAAATTCATTTTGCATAAACATGAAACGAGCAATAAAATATCTTTTGAACGTATTTTTGGCACGAATCCATGGTTCTTCTCATATTTACAACAGATATCAAGACTGATATCTGGTTCGACTCCTTTAGTTGCACCGGGAAGCGAATGACAGATACTTTTTATTTAAGCTTTGGTTCTCTTTTCAAACTTCCGACAAAGTGTGGATTCTAGTAGGGGTAGAAAAAGGTAGGTAAAGAGAGAACAGAGTGATGCGTGGGTGTATGTGACAAGTAATTCCTCGTAAATATAACGATATACATTTGAGCTTATTGGAAACTTTTGTTTCATAAGCCGTTTTTCTAGTGTACAAAAACACACAAGAAAGTATCCTTTTATTCTCAGATGAACAGAGGGATAAGTACATCCGCAAATGGAAAAAGACAGACTAGAAATGAGGGAGATTTTTTTCCAGAGAGATCGACTGCTCTATAGGTAAAAACATCAAAAGATCATCAAACAAAGGAGAAAAATAAAGACAGAAAAAAAAAACAAACATATATATATATATATATATATATATATATATATATATAGTGCGTCATCGATCGAGGAGAGGAACTTTCTTGGTTCTCTGTGTGTCATAGGTGTGTCCTCAGTATAATATTTTTTCTGTTTTATACTAAGAACTTATTTACATCGATTTATTGTGTTAGTAATAAATTTACTTTAGTCGTGGCTCCTGATTTACCCACACCCATGGACTTTTTCAGATTCGCCGTTTGTGATAATTTTATTTCTTGTGTTTGGTTTTGTGTTCCAAAGAATCTTTCTGAAGAAGCGTTGGACGTAAAAGCTTCCTTTTAAAAAAGCTAACTTAAACGTTTAAAATTAATATATATGTTGCTCATACTAATACTATGTTATCTCAGAGGTTGAGTTTTCATTTTCATGATGCATCAAACATATTATAACATTTACAGAAACACGCCTGTCCACATTCCCAATGTAGGAAAATTCTTGTTGAAAATACATATATATTTTTCATGAAAAT